TGGCAGAAGCAAAAAGAGAATCTAGTGGGAAATATTGTCTTTGGTAGATACGAAAGCGAAACTCGTAAATAACATCGTACGACTGTTTGAACAGTTCCCAGTGATGACTACTGATGTTGAAACCGAGTGAGAGCTATTTAAGAGTGGCATTCTCGAGGATGCCGCTGAATGCTGCTGATTCGAACGGGTTGGCCTGCCACCTGCAGGTCAGATAAGAACTTCCTGGTGGACACCGGAGGTACTGCTGTCAGTTAAAGAGAACAAGGCAGCGTTCAAGAAATGGCTTGAAAGCAAGCAAGTGTTATGTCGAAGCAAGCAAGGCGGCAGCGAACGCAGTGGTGAATGCCAAAGCTGGTTCCTTAGAGAAGCTTTGTGAGGTGTTGCAGTCGAATCTGATCTACTCTGGCAGATCATCCGGCGGCTCTGAGGTGAAAAGAAGAGAAGTCTAAGAGTCTTGAACGACAGGTCTGGTCACCCTCTTACCGAGGGTAAGGACATTCTTCGTTGATGGAGAGAGTACTTTGAGGAACTCCTTAACCCCGAATAACCGCAGGAAGACTCGCCTGTAGAGCAGCAGGGAAAGAATATTACTCTCTCTGTAGCTGAAATTATTCAAGCTGTAAACAGCTTGAAATGTGAAAAGACTGCTGGGATGATGAAATCCGCCACTGGAATGCTCAGTGCAGTAGGCGAGCGAGGCATGTGCTACCTTTTACGTGCCTGTCAAACTACAGTGCATTGGGGAAGACACTAGCGAAGTGTTGAACAGGTGTTACAGTACCCCAGTGTGGGCGACCTCTCAGAGTGCTCAAATTATCGGGACATTATCTTTTTGAGCCTTCCTTGTAAACTCTACGCAAAGGTGCTAGTAAGGAGGTTCCGCGGAATAACTAACTCCAAGATACTAGAAGAGCAGTGTGGCTTCTGGTGCGGTCGTAGCAGATCTGATCAGTTATTGGCCCTACGCCAGATTGTTGAGAAATCATAGGTGTTCGCCAGTCTGGTGCAAATGCGCTTTATTTTCTTAGAGAAATGTTGTAATCGGATCGCGCGTAACAGTGTTTCTG